GGGCTCGGCCCCCTCCCCGAGCCACGGCGCAGCCCGGGGCTCCCTGTGCCCCGTCCCAGCGGCCAGCCCCGAGCCCCGCTGCCGGCTCTGTCCCGCCGGGCCGGGGTGCCCTGGCTGTGGGCGCGGAGTCTCTGGGAGCTGCACGCTGCCGGAATGATGGTCCGTCCGGGCGAGATTTCGCTCACTGAGCCGCCACGTGTTTGTTAAAAAGCCCACCGCAGCCGTCGGGCCTGTCCAACCTGTGGGAAGATGAGCCCCTGGTGTTGAGGGGCCTTGTTTCCGCCCAGGGCATGGCACGGGCTGGTGTCCAGCCGGGCAGCACCCAGCACCTCTGTCGGCGAGGGCTGTCGGCCATGCCGCAGCTCTGCCCCCAAAGCCCCCCGCATACAGTGGCCCACAGCCACCCACGTGAGCCCCGCTTCTGTGTGGGGAGCAGGCTGGCCTTCCCCTGACTTCCAGTGTTCGGGTGCTCCTAGCCAAACGCAGGATCAGGTCCTTCCCATGTAATCCCATCAGCCTGTGACTTCCACGACCTGGCTGCAGTGTCAGAAATACCCTCTTCACTGGTGGGTGCCTGCTGAAGTGCTCGGCGTCAACTGGCCAGCCCCAAGCAGGCATACCCTGCTCCCTGCCACCGTGCCCTGGCAGCACTACGGCCCTGTGCTGTTCCTGTATGAGGAATACAACATATGAGCCACATAAGTCTGCCCGCTGTTAACGATCTTGTTTGTGGGGATGCTCACCATGCAGGAGTTCCAAATCTGTGCTACCACATGCTTTCTCCAAAAGCACGGGAGGAATTACAGTTCCCCAAACACTCCAGGAATGGGAAAAGACTCCAGAGATGGTACCTCAAACTGCAGGACTGTAAAAAAAATGATCTTCCCTGTGATGGAAACAAAATGGGGTGTTTTTTGCCTTACAGAAATTGCTACTAAAGGATCCAAAACCAGACCCGGCTAGCAAAAGTTTAGGAAGGTGAAGAAAAGAAGAATGAAGGACGAAACACTTGATGAGCTAGTGGTGTCCTGACAAACACGGAGGGTGATGTAGGAACAAAGGACAGGGAACAAGGGGACAGTGGTGCCAAGTACACGGCACTACAGGGACACATAGCAGTGACACCGGAGCTGGTGGGGCACTGGCAGTGGGTGGTGGGAAAGGACCTGCGGCGTGACCCGGCCGGTTACAGAGACAGAAGGAGGTGGAAGAGCAGCTCCCCCAGCAAGGCACCGGCACCAGCTGCGGCGGGAAGCCCCCCTCTCCGAACTGCTGCCGCCGCCGTCTTCCCCCTCCGAGGCCGGAGGCCGGAGCCCGGAGGTGGCGGTGCGGCCTGGCCCCGGGCCCTGACGGCCCCGCCGCTTCCCGGGGAGCTGGCGCTGGCGCGGCTGCAGGAACGGCACCGGCACCATCGCCTGGGAAGAGCTGTACGACCCGCCGGGAGCCCCCCGCGCACCGCCTCCAGTTCAACGGGCACCGCCAGCCCCTCAGCCTGCTCGCCGCTTGTCCCGTTACTCTTCGCCCCGGGGCCGGCAGGGGCCG